CCCACATACTACACCCTCAGGTGCGGTGTCACCCCTGGTTCACCGCGCGGCTGCCGCGCTACCTGGCAGTCATGCAGGCAGACCCCTCAATGGCGCGGCCCCGCATAGACAACGAGATCCTGGCAGAGGTGGGGTTTTGTGCGTGTGTGCGCGTGCATGTGTGTGTGTGTATGTTTGTGTGTGTGTGTGTGTGTGTGTGCGCGCGCGCGTATGCGTGTTGAGCCGATGACAGGACGCCCGAGGCGCGACGAGCGAGCTCGGCAGAGAGCGGGGCGTTTTAGGGTAGGGGTGTTGCTTACGTTTTCAGTTGCTGGGTCATGTTGGTGCCCTGCCCAAGCGACCTCGGACGAGGTGCCAGAGGTGGGGCGGGGCTGGTGGTTTTGGAGGGTTTGAGGGCCCGCAGGGCGGCGCGCATCGATGGCGCACACTCTGTGCACGACAAGCGTTGGCCTTGGAATGCAAGGGGCTGGGCAAGCACTCCCCAAGACACACATCCCACACCCAATGTCAAACGCAATTACGCCCAATCCATTCTCAAACGTATCCGACCCCCACCGACCCACCCACCCACACTCTCCCCACACACCCACACCCCACCCCACCCCACCTCACCCCACCCCACGCAGGCCGTGCGGCTGGGCTTTGACCGTGATGACGTCATCGAGTCCCTCAGGGCCCGCCGCCAGGACAAGGCGACGGTTGCTTACTACCTGTTAGCTGACAACCGCCGCCACGCGCCCAACAGCAGCTACCTGTCCGGGGAGATGGTGGGTGACCTCGGTGGCCTGGACTTGGGTTTCGGGGTTTAAGCAAAGGCGCGGTTTAGGCAAAGGCGGGTGCAGCCAGAGGGTCCCTCAGTGGCTCCCTGTTTTGCTTTCGTCGTCCTGTGCGGGCCGTCTGAGCCTGCAGCAGTTGAAAGATCATGGTTTTTTGTGGGGGGGGGGGCAACAGCAGCTACCTGTCTGGGGAGACGGGGGGTGGCGCTTTTCGAGCGTCAAACTCGCGTTTCCCTCGGGGGCCGTATACAGGGGCGCGCCTGGAACGGGACGCTAGCGGGCCGACCTGGGTCTCTGGCAGCCGTCACTTCGGAAAGCACCACTGGGGCCTGGCCCTTGTTGCCCCAATCAGACCCCCGCTTTCAGATCTTCCGTGGGCCCACCATCCCTCCGACCCCCAAAATCTCTGTATTGATGCTGATAGGAGACCGCAATGCCGACACGGCAGCTGCCTCCTGACGCTGGCGCCGTCGGCTACGGCGCCCACGGCATGGGCGGCACGCTCCCGGGCGCAGCTAGCCCCGTGCCCGCCGCGCCGCACCACCGCGTTTTCGGCGGCGCCGCCGCCGCGCCGGCCGTCTCGCCGCGGCACCCGAGCCTCAGCGGCGGCAGCGGCGG